ATAATTTTCATCACTTTCACTGGGTATCAGGTCAGTAGTGGGGCTCCTCAGGCAGTCATGACAGAAGTCAGTTTTCCATTATTTCTTCACAGTGTTTCTTCTCCATTCTCTTTCTCCTCTTCTTCTGGAACTCTGATTACATATACAGTAGATTTTTTCCCACCATGCCCCATTAGTCTGTCATAGCCTTTTCTGTAGTATCTTGTTGCCTCTCTGTTTCTCAGTCTAGAGGTTAACACCAGTTCAGAGTCTTTAGCTAATAACTCTCAGAAGGTCTTGATATTTCCTTTTCTCTAGTGCACAGTCACCCTAAAAAATATCTGCAGGTCCCACTAGGAAAGGTTGAATGGAAGATTTATAACATACACCAGTGGCTGTAGGGTCCTACCTTAAAGGTACTCTGCCTTCCCCTCAGTTGAGTAAGAAGTTGAGAAACCCCACCACAGCAACTCTAATTAGGCTCTCCAGCAGATCTAGAATTTTTTTTCTGCCTGAAGTATATTGAGCAGCATCCTATACACTGCCCAATTATTTCATTTTTTGGAATTCTCTGATTAGCCATCACCACAGATCCCTGTGGTTCAAACATCCTCTGATTATCATTTCATTCCTGTGGCTTATTGTTGTAGTTGCACTCACCTTGTCTTATCTGATTAAGCACTGTCACCTGACCTCCATCACTCTGGGATCCCTTTATTCACATTAAGATCAAGTAGCTGATTCCATTGCAGTACTCTCCACCATTCTCTCCAGCCTACAGAGCACAGACACACAGAAATTTTCAAAGATGCTTGGTGACCCTCTCACTAGTGCATTTCTTAATATTTTAGAGCATGTCTACACAAATGTCCCTATTTGATATATCAGGATTCCACTCTTTCCCTACTTGCATCCTTACCTTATTGTAAAAGCCATAGCAGGTAGAACATTTTATTGGCAGTGGAACTCTGTGACACTATGAGTACCCAGACTTGGTCCTCAGTTATATATATCATAAGATGAGGGACTCCTTCAAACATGTCATGCAGGTTTTCTAGTGTTCTACATGTGTTTTCTGTTGTATTTTCATAGTTTTTAATTTCCTCTTTTCCCTATGCATACTCTTTAAGACCATCAGATAACTCCACAACTTTTTGGATACTTATTTTCAACACAGTATTTACATGACACATCTGCTTGATTCCCAAAACTTTGGATTCCTGTACTTCATTCCATGCCACCAGTGGTGTTAATTTGACTGTGATACTGACACATGCCATGTACCAGTGAACCTCTCCTAATAGCTGCTTTCCACTCTCCTTACACCCATTGTAAGGAGGTTATTTTTCCCTCTTCAAATGAGCAACCCAATTCCTGTAGTAACTTTTGGTATTTACTACTATATCTGAGAAGTGCATGGCAGAAAACAGGGGGCACATTCACATTAGAAAATGTGAGAGGAGTTGTTTTTTTTTTTTTCAAAAAGTCAATACACAATGGTGTGGGAAGAGTATTGGAGAACCACAAGAGACAGTGCAATACTCTGTCGCTAGTAAAGGTAGGATTATCAGCCTTAGCCCTGAAAGACAAAGGGAGAGAGGATTTACTAAAAGTTGGAGACACATAGCCTATGTTGAGAGGGCCACCTTACAGAAACCTTTGGAGAAGAGACTCGGCATCTGGTGACAGTGCAGGAAACAAACTGGGAGGAAAAGTTCCTGACCACATTGTTCACTGCTGGTTCCCAAAGGACAAGGGAGTCCTTTGATGTAGTTCATATAGGTCAGACTTCCCAGGATACAGAAAGGGAGGAGAGTGAATCCAGATGAGATGGAGAGATATCCAGCAACTGGGTGAAAGTCATGTTAGTAGTAGTCAGTGGGAATTGTGCCTGCAGTGAGAAAGGGTACCCCATTGACTTTATTTACATTGTAAGGAAGAGAGTAAATGGTATATTGTTATTAGAGGGTCAACCCAAATAAGACTGGGATTTGTCTGAGCTCACCTACTGAAATAAGAAATGTACCTGTGTAGTACTGTCCTATGGTAAAGGCATTAAAGATAATACGAATACTGTTTTATAACCACGGGTCTGAGAAGTTATGGATGCTTTGTACCAGCTTGTTGTTTATTAGTAACAACAAGTTTGATTATTTGCACCTAGTCTTGGTGAACCTTCCCACCAAGAGCGCTCTGCTGTTGAAGCTAGCTACATAGCAAGAATATGCCTACATAACCAGCAGTGTAGGAGAATCCTGGGCAGAGACTCCATTTGTGCCCTCTGGTTCTGAGGTATTCTGTGTACACATCAGTGTTTCCTGGTCCAAAAGAAGTGCCTATTGCCAGGGTTCCTATAGAGAGGGCAGACAATTGGAGCTTGCACCTGGCCACTCCAGACCCCTTGTCTGTCTCATAAGACAGCTTTTAGCTGTGACACATAACCTTAATGCTGTTGCTATATTGCATCTTTTTTTCTGCACTAAACTATGGATTTGCAAGCACCGACATTTGGAGTCCCATGAGTCTTCTTCAGCAATGGAACTGTTTAACTGCTATAGTTATCATAGCACCTGAAGAAGGAACTACACAATACTATGAGATGCTTTCCATTTGCCTTTGTTTCTAGATCTGATTTGCTCTAAAGACACTTTCAGGTTCTCTTCAGTAGATATATGAATCCTTGCCTTTATGTATTCTTACTCCCAAACTTTGTTTTACACCTTAGAAAGAACTTCATCTCCCATCTCTCTCCAGAAATAGATGTTGCAATTGTTTTCTTCTGTTTACCTATTGGTGGTTCACACTTAATATGACTGAGATCATAATGAATATATAAGTCAGTGGACATCGGCCTTTAGGATGAATCAGAATCACATAAGAAGTCTGAGAATCACAGTCATAAGAATCACATAAGTAGATCTGAGGTAGGGGTCAGGAGTTCACATTTTCAACAGAGTCCCCTGGTGATTCTGACATGTGGCAGACTAGCACACTTCAAAAACATGCAAGCTTTAATAAAATGAGATAGGGTTAAATTTGTGGTAATACACTTCTACATGGTGTTCCATTTGGAACTGCAAGTAAACCCTGCTAGAGAAGTTCAGTTATTTATCTAGACAAGACATTATCTGGGGTGAGAACTCCTAATTATTATTATTTATAAATTTATTAAGAACCTGTGACTTGTCAGACACTGTGCTAGGCATTAGAGGTACTAGGATGGAAAGGAAAGATTGTGCTTTGAGAAGCAGAGTACAATGCAGTGTTTCTCAGTTTTTTAAAAGTATCAGTCCACAATCATAAATACATTTTTCATCACAACTCAGGGTGTACAAATATACATATATATGTAACTGAAACACAAATTTCACAAAACAATTCTTACCCTACCTACCTGTGATGTGATATAATCTGATTATTTACTAATCTACCCTACTTCCTTAATAAATTGCAGGTCTTGACTCACTAAATTTGTTTTAGGCTCTATTAGTGCAGGGAATGTAGAACTAAAGTTTAACACAGTTAACACAGTTTAACAAAGATAATCTGATGTATATCTTATGTAGTACATGTATTTATTCTTCTAGTCACATATTTCATGTGAAGGTGGGAGTAGGGAGGCTAGGTAAAGTCTCCTTAAAAACAGTGCTTCTCAAATTTTAATGCATACAGAAATCAACTACAGATATTGTTAAATGGAGATTCTGATTCAGTACATCTTGGATGGGGACTTGAGATTTTGCATTTCTAACTCTCTCTCAGGTAATGCTGATGCAGCTGGTCCACTGACCACTATTTAAGTAGCAATGCTCTGAAAACCTTAAGTGTGGGAAGGTGTGTTAACCTTGTAAGGCAGGACCTGGCAAGAGTTTCCTAGGAGACAATTTCCTCTAAGGAAAGAGGAATCAAGCAGACAAGGCACCAACAGATGAAAAAAATGGTGTGTGCCACTCAGATTTTATTCTAGCCTCCCATATCTGAAACCAGTAGAGATAGCTGTCTGCAAATACATAATTACAAAGCAACAAACACAGAAAGGATTGTTTTGCTAAAAAAAAAATCTGAAATCCATTAAGGGCCAAAGTATCACTGAGGTGTTAACCCACTTGGGTAAGCATAACTTTGTCACCTTGAGGACACCAGCCCATCAGCAGCAGTGGGACCCTTAATAGTGTGCAGAACTCATAAGAAAAGGCACAGTATCCAGAAGACATGGCAGTACCCAGGGGAGGGTGGCACCCATCTTTTGGCCTTGTTCCTGAGCATAGGTGAGCTGTACCTTACCCTCTTCCAAGTGTCTGATGGGGGGGCCGGGTCTTGGTCCCTGCTAGTGTAGGGGAAAAAGTAGAAACCAGACCAACACAGCTCACATACTCAGCACCTCATCTATTCCATTCGGCAATCCTGTGAGGCAAGTATTATCCCCATTTCACAGATGACAAGACTGTCTTTTACAGCAATGGATCTGTCATAACTGCCGGCTGATTCCTCTAAATATGAGTCCTAGAGGTAATGTGAGTTCTACATATTGTTTTAAGTTCTGACAAGAATTTTAAGTGTCTCCATTGCCTTCATAAACTCACTGAACAGATCTTTGTATTTCCTTTTGTGTATTGTTTTCTTTTTTTATACTTTAGTATTTCTTTATGAGAAAAATAATCTGTGTTCTTTAGGGAAAAAATATGAGTAGAAAGAAAACAAATAAGTCACCCACAGTCTTAAAATTCAGAGAACCACTGTTAACCTTTTGGTGAACAAAAGTTTCTATTTTTCCTGTGCATAGATGTACTATATAAACTTATGTGTTTTTTTTACAAAGTGGACTGATTCTATAGATGATATTATAAGCTACTTTATTTTCCAAGAATTATAACGACTTTGCAATGCACATGGGTGAAAAATCCCTTACTGGTAGAGTGCTCTAGTTGGATCAAAAGGCTACTGATAACCAGAGTGACAGCTAAAGCAAATTATTAGCATAAGATTAAAGCACAGGGCTTGGCAAATGCCTGCCAGGGGCACTACACAAAAGGAATGTCTTCAAAGCCCCTTTGTGGGGCTCTGCACCCACCCCTGAGTTCCCTTGGGCCCCTCGGGTGGAAGGGGTCCTGTAAACTTTTTTGCATCCACATAAACCCGCCCAATTTCTGTCTGGTTTTCTTCACCTCATCCTCCACCCTGGCCATCTCGTCAAATTCTTTTATCATCTCCTCATTGCTCAAATGCATATCGTGTATGGCCTCCTTGTATTCCTTGAGGCACTGAGCCAGCCCCTTGTTGGTTTTTCTTTTGGCCTTCCTGGGTACATCATCCCCAGCTGGGCGCTTTCCCACAGCCTTTGGTTTGCTGGCTGGCTTTTCTTCTTTTGGCTTTTCCTCATTCACTGGCTTTCCCTCATTCTCTGATTTTTCTTTTGGCTTTCCCTCACTCACTGGTTTTCCTTCTTCTTTTGGCTTTCCCTCGCTCACTGGTTTTCCCTCTTCTTTTGGCTTTCCCTC